GGGCTCTTCATGACTTTTGACATCCGAATGCTAAAAACACCAGTGTTCGTTGCATTGTTGCACACCAAATTCAGTAGTTGGCGAAACCGGTTTTCGTAAAGTAATATTATCTAAGTCGCGTCAGCAATGGATCTGGCAGGATATCTTGAACTACGCCTCCATTATAGAATGAGATCATAGGTCACAATGTTTCATTCAAGACAGTCAATAAGCAATAAGAGGTAACAGCACATATTCCGGGTGAAGAAAACGATTAACAGGGAGCCAGTAAGAGAGCACTCCTCTTCGATATTAACTGCACATTCAGTTCTTTCATAAAAGGAAAGGAAAGTTGGCAACTGTTAGAATGTCAGCCTTCCTTACACTCTCATGATGGGACCATTCTGGCGCCCTTCTTTTCATGAAGTTGAAAGGTGCGGTGCTTATTTTAAAGGAAGTATATGGACATGTGACAAATGTAGCGTGTGGTCTATTGTTTCTTTCCCACAGAGTGACACTTATCATTTACCTCAGAAAGAAGAAATGTGAGTAACCCTAACCGGACCTCGAACCCAGTACCTCTCAATTATGATTTCGACGCTCCGCCGATTAAGCAACCCCATTCTGAAGCAACATGAGGTAAATTCCTTGCTCAAGGGAAATCGTGAATATGTAGTTTCAGAAACCTTTGTCATAATGAAACGTATATGCTCAAGTATTTCAGAAAACTGTAATATAGTTTTTATTTTCTGCATTGCAGAACGATGTATAGAGAAGCAGATATAAATTCGATAAAAGTTAGCAATCGAAATCGACGGAATCATTAGCTATGCTTCTCGATTTTGCAAAGAGTAAAAATTTGGTTAAACAGAACTACCCTTCGGGAAACTCTTCAAATTTGGATGCAGTCTCCTATCTACTGTTTTTCTCAGCTCTTCTAGGGTGATTCAATAAATAATTCCCTGGCTACTGGCAGCAGCGTGATCCTACAATAGATCGATAACGATGAAATGGTCGGTTACCTAAGCTTTAGTGAGCAAATGTGAAAACCATTTGACAGCACTTCTACGGTGCACTGACTGCAAGGACTCTAACCACAGATTACAGATCGATATTTGGACAGCATCAGCACTGTATCTTTCCACAATAAAAGAGCGTCCAAACTGAACCAACGCCAAGCCAACACCAAACAAGAACAGGACAACGTTAGGCATACTCCATAGAGTAACCTGCTAGCACAAAAATCCAGTCAGAATCCTACCTACTCTATTATTTTCTAGCGACCAATGAAAAACAACACAGCCATTCAGCAAAATTACAGACTCTACGTGAGAGACGAAAAAGTACCAAAAATAAACTATGTTCACTATGCGATCAATGAATTACCTTTAATGCAGACTCGAATGTGAAACTTAACGCTGGAAAATCAGTGGGGTTTGCAGCAGGTGCCATGATGACCGAAGAATAAGGCAGCCCGAAGCTTAAGCCTGTTTTAAGTGCGTTGTATATTCCAGCGTCGGTCACAGCAGCCATAACATCGACAGCTCCGTCTTGTGCTAAAATTCGTACACTATACGGTGTATAGAACAGTGTAAAGCAAAGCCGAAAACTTCGGCTTAGTGTTATTTCAGTTCCCATTAATATTAATGAGCGCATACGCCACATAACTTTCAGACATTGCACAGATAGCCGTCTTTCAGAACGGTGAGCAATCACTATTATAACTAATTAAACACCGCAGTTCTTGGATTCTGCTTTGAAGTTTTTTGAATAGCCCTAGCGTTAAAGCAGGACTGAAAATCAACCTGATGACTCAGGTTTCACTATCAACCTGTGACCCGCGACTTGTTGAAGGCCACGGACTTAAGTTTGCAGGGAAGCAAATTTTGCTTGAGACAACTCATCCATGAAACGGAGAAGAGAACTGACTCCGTGAAACTAACAGAGGAATGAAAATGGTACGGAGTACTACAGGAACACTGAAAATGTTCTTATCAGGGAAACCTTGTGCATGAAACGAAAAGTTTTCAATCACACTGTGCTCTCAGTGCTAACCTATGGATGCGAAGCGTGGCTCTTACGCCTGAAAGAGATTCACAAACCAGACTATACAATGCACAAAGTTATGCTGGGAATAACAAGATGGAATAAGAAGACGAAAGAATGGGTAGGAACAAAAACGATGGATCTGCAACGTCACTGCAAAAGCGAATTAGTTAAAATGGCCATGAGCAGAACAAGTGACAAGAATAGACAATCGTGGGACCAAAAAGATACTGAGATGAGTTCCAAGAAACAGAAAACGGCCCGTTGGAAGACCTCTAGATTGATGGCAGGATAAACTCAAGAAATGTGCTTGAACAACATGGAAAAGAATCACAGAAGACAGAATTCTGTGGATAAATCTTGGAGGATTTCATTAAGCAGTGGGTAGCGAATCAAAAAAAGCTGACGATCCTGATGAAATGCCGCAGTCTCAGAATGAGTATCGACTGATACTTACGACACGCAAGAGAATTTCTGCGATGTAACTATTGAAAAATAAAGCACCAGTTTTGCCTCAGTAACGCATCGTGCCAAAAAACACAAGCGATCTGTCGACAATACTTTCATGAACTAAAGCCATAAATCAAGTCTTACTGCACGTCTACCTACCCATGTATCCTTTCATCTGAGGATCAAGTGTCGTAATCACCTTGCCCACTGAATCCTAAAAAGAAATCATATAACGCAGATAACAGAATGGGAAAGGCAGAGATGACTGACGCAACCTTGGCTTTTTCGGCCACTTTGCTTAAAAATTCAGATCCCGCCACCGACCCTTTGATCCAGCTCCAAACGTTGTTCGAGGAATCGTGATGTTGTTTCGTGTGAAACATGGAAGAAGGGTCTGATGAATATGAACCGTCAAAAGCAATGTTCACGTCACTCTGCTGCGCTCTAAAAACAAGGTCAACTGCATGGGGAAAAGGTAAGTAAGACTCTGTTACGCTGCCGGTACGCTATTCATGTTCGGGGCTACATCATAAGGATTAACAACAGGCGTCATCACTGGCTGTGAAAGTTCAGGACGATCTGGTGGAAAAAATGGCATCTTATGCACGTCCGTTGGCTGCTTCATCGCATAATCGGAAGCTGCCATACTACTTGAGGCGGCTTTTATGCTAAACGGATTTACTGAAGAAAGTGGAGGAGCAGAAGTTACTGCAGCGGCGGGTGACATCGAAGGCACAGGAGGAACAGTAGAATCGGCTGCGGCAGGCTCTGAAGAGGCAACAGTCGAGTTTTGGTCCAGCAAAAACGTAGTAGTTG